GAGAACGATGACCAGCAGAGCTCCAACCAGGCCAGCGATGATGGATGTCACCTGGCTGAGGGGCAGGAGGTGGTCAGGGTGGGGGAGATGGTGGTGGAAGACCCTCAGAACCCAGACAAGTGATCAGCGTGGCACAACACCCTCATGTTCCTACCTTGGCTTCTGGTCCACGGGACAGCCATCCTCATCCCGAATCGTGCACCTGGGGACAGACACCCACTGTCAGCACCTCCTGCTGTCAGCAGCCCCCCCACCCAGCCTGAGCCCCCCCAGACTCACGAGTGGGTGCAGTTGGTGGGGCAGAGCTGGCATACACCATCTTCATCTGGGTATTTCCAGATGGGCACGAAGGAGGTGTCAGACTTCACCCCACTGGGGCAGCGCCGCACGCACTGCTGCGCGTCCTTGTAGTGGGCACAGGCCACGCACTGGTCTGCCTCCTGTGGGGATTGGGGTGTGTGAGGGACACAGGGGTTTGGGGGCACCCCCACCCACCCCTGGAGGGATGTGTGTCCCCATCCTCACCGATCCAAAGCAGGTCTCGGTGCCGTTCTGGGGCTGGCACTCGGGGTGGCACGGCAGGCACCGCGTCCCGTTGGCGTGCTCCCGGACAGCTCTGAGGGCAAAGGGCAGGGAGCATAGAATCACAGAATCATAGAATCAACTGGGTTGGATAAGACCTCCAAGATCATCAAGTCCAACCCTACCATGGTCACTAGACCATGGCACTAAGTGCCACATCCAGTCTCAGCTTGAAAACCTCCAGGGATGGGGAATCCACCACCTCCCTGGGCAGCACATTCCAATGCCTGAGCACTCTCTCCAGAAAAAATCTCTTCCTAATCTCCAACCTAACCCTCCCCTGGCAGAGCTTGAGTCTGTGCCCTCTTGTCCTGCTGCTGGTTGCCTGGGAGAAGAGACCAACCCCCACCTGACTCCAACCTCCTGTCAGGGAGTTGCAGAGGGTGATGAGGTCTCCCCTGAGCCTCCTCTTCTCCAGGCTGAACACCCCCAGCTCCCTCAGCCTCTCCTCATGGCACTTGTGCTCCAGTCCCTTCCCCAGCCTCATTGCTCTGCTCTGGACCTGCTCCAGCCCCTCAATGTCCCTCCTGAGCTGAGGGGCCCAGAGCTGAGCACACGATGTGGAGGTACCGTTTGGCAGCGACTCCAACCCAGTGTTGCACATGTTTATTCAGACTCAGCTGGTCAGGCCTCTGTTTGCCAGTTTCCTTCTTTCATTTTCATTCCACCTGAGCACAGGGATGTGATCCTAATGTTGGGGAGCTGTGTTGGCCATTCCCAAGGGTCTCCACTCACCCTTCCAGCAGGTTGCAGGAGGCCACGCACTCCTGGCCGCGCAGGAACCGCTCGCAGGTGACGCACTGGGTCGGGCCAGGGCCCCAGCAGTGCCCAT